CCACACCCTGAGCACCTGGGACTGACACCTGAGCACCTGGGACTGACACCTGAGCACCTGGGAACACACCCTGGCACACCTGGGACTGACCTGGGAACACCTGGAGCCACACCCTGGCACACCTGGGACTGACCTGGGAACACCTGGGAACACCTGGGAACACCTGGAACCACACCCTGAGCACCTGGGAACACCTGGGAACACCTGGGACTGACACCTGAACACCTGGGACTGACACCCCAACACCTGGGACCACACCCCAAACACCTGGGAACACTTGGGAACACCTGGGAACACCTGGGAACACCTGGGAACACCTGGGAACACCTGGGAACACCTGGGAACACCTGGGACCACACCCTGAGCACCTGGGACAGGTGTTTGTGGCACTGACCACGCCCTGAGCACCTGGGACAGGTGTTTGTGCCACTGACCACGCCCTGAGTCTCCTTTCTGAGCTTCTACCACCCCCAAACCCCCAAAAACCAAAATTTTGGGGTTCCACCACCCCAAATCCACCAAAATCCCCAATTTTGGGGTTCTGACCTCAGAAAATCCCCAGAAATCCCCAATTTTTGGGGTTCCACCACCCCAAATCCACCAAAAATCCCCAATTTTGGGGTTTTCTCTCAAAAAATTCCCAGAAATCACCGATTTTGGGGTTCTTTCCCCAGAAAACTTCAGTAAACCCCCAATTTTGGGGTTCTGGTCCCAGGAAATTCCCAGAAATCCCAATTTTCGTGGTTCCACCACCCCAAATCCAGCAAAATTCACAATTTTGGGGGTTCCACCACCCCAAATCCCTGAAAATCCCCGATTTTGGGTTTTTTTCTCCAGGAAATCACAGGAAATTCACAATTTTTGGAGTTCCACCACCCCAAACTGCATTAAAATCCTCAATTTTGGGATTCTGGCCCCAGAAAATCCCAATTTTTGGGGTTCCACCACCCCAAATCCATGAAAATTCACAATTTTTGGCGCTCCACCACCCCAAAAACCACCAAAATCCCCAATTTTTGGGGTTCTGCCCCCAGCAAATTCACAGAAATCCCCCATTTTCGTGGTTCCACCACCCCAAACCCCTGAAAATCCCCGATTTTGGGGTTTTTCCCCCAGAATCGGCCGCCCCGGGCTCCGACCTCGCCGTTGTCCTTGTCCACGCTGTGCGACTCGTCCAGGATCCGATCCACCTCCACGTAGTCGGGGTTGAAGGGTTCCTCATCCTGCCCCAGGAACCCCCAAAATCCTCTTTTTCCACCCCAAACCCTCCTTTTCCACCCCAAATTCTCCTTTTCCACCCCAAATTTTCTTTTTCCACCCCAAATCCTCTTTTTCCACCCCAAATTCTCCTTTTCCACCCCAAATTCTCCTTTTCCACCCCAAATCCTCCTTTTCCACCCCAAATCCTCCTTTTCCACCCCAAATTCTCCTTTTCCACCCCAAATTCTCTTTTTCCACCCCAAATTCTCCTTTTCCACCCCAAATTTTCTTTTTCCACCCCAAATTCTCCTTTTCCACCCCCAAATCCTCTTTTTCCACCCCAAATCCTCCTTTTCCACCCCAAATCCTCCTTTTCCACCCCAAATTCTCCTTTTCCACCCCAAATCCTCTTTTTCCACCCCAAATCCTCCTTTTCCACCCCAAATTCTCCTTTTCCACCCCAAATTCTCCTTTTCCACCCCAAATTCTCCTTTTCCACCCCAAATCCTCCTTTTCCACCCCAAATTCTCCTTTTCCGCCCCAAAATCCTCTTTTTCCACCCCAAATTCTCCTTTTCCACCCCCAAATCCTCTTTTTCCACCCCAAATCTTCTTTTTCCACCCCAAATCCACATTTTTCCCCCCAAAATCCTGGTTTTTCCACCCAAAATCTCCATTTCGCCTCCCAAATCCCATTTTTTCCACCCAAAATTCTGTTTTCCCTTCAAAAACCTGATTTTCTCCTCCAGAAATCCATTTTTCCCCCAAAATCCCATTCTATCCTCCCTAAAATCCCCGTTTTTCCCCCAAAAATCCCCATTTTTCCCCCAAAAATCAATTTTTCCTCCAAAAAACCACATTTTCCCTCCCAAAACTCCATTTTTTCCCCAAAAAAACCCATTTTTCCCCCCAAATCTCCATTTTTCCCCCAAAATCCCCATTTTTCCCCCAAATCCCATTTTTTCCCCCCAAAATCCCCGTTTTTCCCCCAAATCCCATTTTTTCCCCCCCAAATCCCCATTTTTCCCCCCAAATCCCCATTTTTCCCCCCAAAATCCCATTTTTCCCCCCAAATCCTCATTTTTCCCCCCAAAATTCCCATTTTTTCCACAAAATCCCCATTTTTTCCCAAAAATCCCATTTTTCCTCCCAAAACCCCATTTTCCCTCCCAAAACCCCATTTTCCCCCCACAAATCCCATTTTTTCCCCCAAAATCCACGTTTTTCCCCCAAAATCCCATCTTTTCCCCAAAATGTCCATTTTTCCCCCCAAATCCCCATTTT